TATAACCCTGCAAACTCATCTTTTTTTCCTCTCCTTCTCAGAGAACTGAGATTTTCCATTGCTTGCGTATTGAGATGGCTTGATGAACCGTTCTGATTCCAAGCTTTCTTTATCCTCTTACTTGCAGCTTTGGATACTTGCTCAAATGTTATCACACTTAACTATTTTACAGCTGATGTTCTCATGAGCCAAAGTGAAAGCATCATTGAACCAAGCCACTTGATTCAGCAAAGTCACAAATTAACCCTTGTGCAAAATAGTGCTGGTGAATGACCGCCTGCGTTTCATACCCCTACGGTGGAGATTTAAGATTCGTAAGAGCTTCTGCACCATTCACACTGCTGTGGGTTATCTTGATGCTGGAACACATTACCTTATGGGCTGTACTTACAGGTTCAACATTGAGTTTAGAAAACCTCAGGTAACCATTAATGAACTGCGGAAATGTCAGTTGAAGTACTTTTAAATGGCATTCCAGTGTCTTTTCGAAAAATATTAAAGCACGTGCCTTAACCATCAATTAAAAACAACATAGCAAACAATGCTTTCTGCTTTGCGAATGCTTTTCTTTCCTATTTGGAATACCATTTAGTAAGCCACAACCATTTTTCTCTGCCTTGATAATAAACTGAATTTGAAACAATCCCCAAAATATCAAATGTTTTGCAGGTCATGTGCACAAAAAAACTCCAATCTAATTGTTGGAAACATGTGTTGGTTGGGGGGAGGGAGGGGGGGGTGTTGGTTGACAGCCAGGGTTCAGCACAGCACAGGGTTATTATTGATCTTGGCTCCCTGTGCGGAGAAGTGAATGGTCTCTTCTGACCTTCTCAGTAGCCCAGCTGTAAAGTGCAACTAGGGGCTTTGGGTCAAGATATCTACACTGCGGTGGTTCCTGGCACGGGACAAAGAAAATACTCTGAGTTAATAGAAGTTCACATCCAGCTTATCTGGCCCCACACTCACCTCCAGGGATTTCTAACAGTCTTTTGATTACCCTGTGGCTGGGTTGGTGACAAATCTTGAGGAAGTTTACATTGCCTATATTGTTAAGGCATTTTCTGCTTAAAAGCCATAGAAATTCACAGAGAATTGCAAGATTTAAATAGAGACTTGCGGAACCCAGTTTGCATTGAACAGCAAAGCACTCGCTCTCATTGATTCCCATTGTCAACTTGCCCCTGATATCTTGCACAATATTAAAAACCAAAAAGCCTGTTCATGTGACAAGCCAGTTGATTATAATGATATAATTGTTTCATGTGACACCACTGCCTCATCTAAAGAGTTAGGAACGGTACAAATATTTTTAATAAGCTACAGAGAGATCTGACAAGGGACCTTTGGCTAACATCTTACCATCCAATTTGAACCCATGTGCACTGGTCCTGCTCGCGAGTTCAAATCCCTGTGGCATAGAGTCCTTGTCTGCTTTGTAAAAATAAGTTGGATCTTCAGTTGCGATGAAAATAATTCAAAGGAATGGAAATCTGAAATAATAACAGAAAATGCCAAATATATACCACAGGTCAATCAGAGTCTGAAAGGGGGAGGAAGGGACAGTAACATTTCGGGTGAAAGGCCTAATGATGGGATTGTGTTACAACAAAACGTATCAGAAATTCTGCAAAGCCAGGATTACAACAGTTCAGCTAAAGTATCATAGAAACGTAGAAATCTTTGGCATAGTCAGAGGTCACTTGGCCCATCAAGTCTGTGTGATTTGTAGTCACTGACTTGGTAACAGTTGGAACGTACAATTAATGAAGAATTTGCTCCTTATACGCAATGCTTAGGAAAGATCTAAAATTTAGATTACAGTGTAAACTGTACATTTTACATCTCAGTGAAGAAATTATAACTCAACTGTACTCTTAGTCAGAGTAGAGGCTAACTTTCATGTATCTCTACTCTGCTCCTCCATACCAACTCGAACACCCAGTACTTGAACTGTGTAGCAATACAGTACTATACTTGTGCACTTTTGAAAACAACCCTGAGGATGTGTAGAATAAAGGCATTGCTTAGGGCACTCCTTGATGGTCTTATCCATTCAGTAGCTGAGTTGAGAAAAAAATTAGAATAGAAAAAGTGGCGCAGGAATAGTCCACAATGCAGCATTTATCTATTGGATTCACATCAATTGCGCAGACCATTTTGTTGAGTTTGGAAAGAATTTGCTTTTGTTTTGAATAATGTTAAACCTTGTACTCTGTCTGAACTTCGTAAGGGGCCAGAAAGGATTGTAACAAGTACTAAGGTTGAATGTGTCTCCGAAACATGACTTGAACTCCAGAGAGACTCTATTGCACGAATGTGAGAACATTGGCAGGCTGTTTCTTACATTAAGATTCAATATTAGTGGAGTCCTGTAGCTCAGTGGTTAGAGCACTCGCCTTGCAAGCGAGACACCTGGGTTCAATTCCAGGCAGGGTGAAACCTTGGGCGAGTTTCCTTACTCCACACCCCTAATAATAATCCCTCCAAAACAAAACAATAATAAATTGGTCATTTTCAATCCACGACTGTTTGTGGGACACCGCTGTGCACAATTGGCTGCTGCATTTCGCCCACAAATATACAGTCAATTCACTTTACAGTCTACTCTGTGAAGCGCTTTGAGACGTTGAGAAGACGTGAAAAGCGCTCTATCAAATGCAAGGATTATTATTATTATTTAGTGAATTAGAGTGCAAGTTATTGCCACAGTTATATGGCAGACACCCAGCATGGCCCGAACAAGCGGCACCAAGTAGAAAGCTTTTCCGTTAAAATACTATTTTTATATTTAAAGAAATCTGTTCCTACATCAAAGATGCAGATAAAGGATAACTAGCAGAACGGTTATGTAACGCTGGAAATAATAGGTATTAGAATTCAAAGCACTCCTTCGTTTAGACAGCACAGAATAATTTGTTTAACTCTACAGCAAGATCTGAATCATATCAATGTTATGTGGCAGATGGCATCTGGATTTCATAATCCTTACATAATGCAAGGATTCTTCGTATATTATGAAAGCCTTCTAAGATTGTGTACATTCGCACTATGATGAGAACTACCTACTTCATGTGACGAGTGAGTAGCTGTGCTTTGTTTTTAGAAAAGTTCACCTAGAGGTTGGCAAGCTTCTCATTACAGTTTCTTTAACATACATTTGAAAGGGCACTGGGAAAATAGCTATGTAAATTCCTGTCTCCAACCCACAGTCTCCTCGTCATTCTTCCTCCCTTGCCTCCTTCGAGGCACGTCCCAAGATTCTCCTCTAAGGTCACCCTCCCACTCCTACCTTCCCTGCCCTCCTGAAACCAAATCCCTACTCAGGTGCGAATCCCTTGCTATCCAGTGCCTTGGGAGGTCCTCCCTACGTGAAAGGCGCTATACAAGTGTAATTTGTTGTTGTTGCAGATATTTTTCCAGTCTGCCTTTGCACTTTGATACCTGTAACACCTTGGGGGATTTTGAACGTTAAAGTTATCTGCAAAATAATTCCTTTGGTTTGCTCAAAAGCCTATCCAGAAACTAACATGACTTTTACACTTCCGAACAACGCATTTATAGAGTCCTTCAATGTCTCCTGTAAGGATACGCAAATAGAAGCCCAGTTATAAAATTATTAACTCACAGTATTGTTAATTGTATTCCCTACAAATACACAGTCTGTACACTTTACCATAAATCCTGTGAAGTGCTTTGAGACGTCCTTCTGACATGAAAAGTGCTGAATCAAATGTAAGGATTATTATTATTGGTGTAAATCTATAGACAAGTCATTTTTGTCAGCCCTGACTTTAACTGTGTAAAACCTTAACACCACACATCAGTTTTGTCTTCACTACTATGCTGCAATTCTTTAAACACTTATTGACTCACTGCTCTGTGCCTTCATCGGACTCGGGATGCTGTCAAGATGACCATCTTTACATAAGTTAAAGCGATAGCTGGAGGCAGCTTAAATAATGAACAAGATCACTCACCAAACCAAACTCAGTGGTTACAGGGAGCACAGAACTTACACTGTGCCTTCAATTGGCTTGATGCAGATTTCCTGTAGTCAAAGTCATATTCCAGCAGCTCTGGTTCACCACAGATGGTTAACATTACATTTGAACTGCTTCATACAGGGAATAAGGTTGAAGGGTATAACATTGTCTGGGAGAAAACTCATAGGCAAGGGAAGGTGTGTGTGAAGCTTCACTGTTGGCCTCTGCTCTAGAGTGTTTGGGACTGAATCAGATTATTAGACCAGTCAGGAATGGGAGCTTTGCCCAAATTTCCTTTCCTAACTCAGGGCTGCTGATGCCAATTGTGCCTTAACTGTTGTATTCAAACCTGTGCTTTTCTGTAATAAACCCTATTCCTGACACACTCTATCAAGGTCGAGAAGTCTGGTTGCTGGGATTGACTCTGTTTATGGCTCGTCATCAATGTTAGCCCCAGGCTATTTGGGATGGATTGAGATAATTCTATTTGCATATATTCTAGAGATTTGTGTATTCCAGTGTGTTCGAAGGCATACTCTAAACTGTACGTTGTCCTATAGCTTGTAGAAAATGACCACCACATCTAAGGAGAAATCAATCTTACTGTGCTCTTGCCCAGGATAGCGTACGTGTAATTTCATACCTAGAGATATTTGCATAATAAGATGGGCATATTGTTACATTGTGCGTATTTTATTACATTACTGTATATAGGTTTTCACTCACTTTAAACAGCACTTGGAATGTACACAATTCTATCTTAATATTCTGGTATTCAGATTTACAGCCATCAATCAGCATGTGCTTGTGCTGAAACTATATGTTAAATCCTGGAGAGGAAATTGCATAACACACTCATGAAATTGTTCTTTGCGCTACAGCAAGTTTCAGTGAGCTTTGAAGTTTTATGAAAATGCAATGTTATTAGTGATCATTTATGTCTTGGGACTGGTTTAAGTAACAAAGGGAGGTGTAATAAAGATGAATACAGTTGAATTTGCTTTCAGAGATACTTGCTTAACAGATGGGCATACACTTTATTGTTACATTGTGCGTATTTTACTACATTACTGTATATAAGTTTTCACTCACTTTAAACAGAACTTGGAATGTACACAATATTATATCTTAATATTTTGGAATTCAATATAATACACTTCCAAACAGTTCATATTTACACAAAAGCACATGACCAAATGTAACAGTAGGTATACAATAAAATATAGATTTTACAATCACATTTTATAAACACTTCTGATAAATACATTTGTGTATTTAACATATGAAAACATGTAACACAGAAATAGTTGCAATGATCTTTATAAGAAGAACATTACTGTTACTTGAATACTACTCATTTTTAATACAGACAGATTAATATTCTTTCCTTCACTTCATACAACTGATTACAATTTAGAAACTATTATGTACAAGATGCTTTAAAAAATCTTAATGCATAAGATTTTAATGCTAAAAGTTGTCTAACCTAAGAAAATCAATGAGTTATTTTTAAAAAAATATACAAAAACAGTGGAAGAAAACTACTCAGTAAAATTATCCGTGTGTTTTTTTTTGGTCATCAGTTTGCTTTGGAAAATGTTTAGCTGACACGATAAAGCTTGAAGTGTTGTTTGAAAGGACATAGTTCAAGAAACGGAACTAAACACATTTATGAAGAAAATCTGACGCGCTAACGGTTCCAAATGCTTATCAACATTTCCAACCTTTAAGCAACTGCAAAGGACACTGGTAATGAAAATGCCTCAATTAACTCCATTGATGTTTTCATTGCGGTTTGAGGCATATTCGGAAAACAGTTCATTGCTAAAGATTAGGATACATTATTTTCCCCCCACACATAGATGGTACACACACACACACCTACACAACAAATGCAGCCGATGCTCTGTCAAATTAACTTCTTTTTAAAAAATGGATAAATACTTGCTTGGAACAATACTGAAGTACGGAGGGGTAGGTGGAGACTGAGAGAAATACTGCACAGGACACAGTGCTGCTGGGATCAGAAAGATAGTCTGTGGAAGAAAGCGACTTCACACTGACTAGTGGAGACTTAGGGAGGGATGAAATTTCTACAGTTGATGCTCGAGAACCTTTGGATTTCAAGGGTAATCTGTTCAGGACTTTCCTCCAACTGGAAGAATGGGTGAGGGGGAAGGCCATGTTACACCCTCACTTAGTTCTAGCCTATTTATTAGTGATATTTTAGTTCTTAAGTATTTATAAGACCCATTAATACTAAATAATGCAATACTTTTAGCCATATTTATACACAGATTGAGACTATTGTCATGAAGGCCTTTTTGTATCATTAACATTTGTCACTTATATTGAAACTATAGGAACTAAGTTGAGACATTTTCTTCTAATATCACAAAACTTCATTGGCTGGGTTCAATACCCCAGACTCAGTGATATAAACCAGGTCCCACTAAATGGCTGCCTTCAGTGGTGCTTCCTGCACATGGAATGCGTGCACAGGAAGTGATATTTACAGGTGCCTCCTGCAACACTCTCTTTTAAAGAAAAACAGCTTGATGCTATGACGGAAGGAAGGTAGCGTGGGTATTGAGGGGGGAAAATTCCTTTCAAAATATCTCATGACAACTCAAAAGTGGAAGCTACATTTAGCAAAATTTAAGGCTTCGGATGCACCAGGGAATTAGTCTTGTGAGGAGCCACAGTTAGGCGAGAGAAACTGACCTCTTATACACTTATGAACTTGAATATATAATATAGCTGAAGATAATTTGGTTGATATAGATGAATATCTTTGTAGGCAAAGCAGTGTTAGTCCAGGGAGTGGAGTTCTGGGCCAGCTCATAACTGTGGGACGTTTTTTTAATGCAAACAAACTACTCTTTTTGTTTTAAACCTTCGATGCAATGAGAAGAAAGCGTGCCAGGTGATATTGCTCGCGCAGGTGCTTTTGAATTCCAAACCAAATCCCTGTGTGCATGTTGCTAAGGAAAGAAGTGGAGATATCCAAAGGTACACAATCAGTGGCAGATAGCCAGCAGCAATCCCCCACACTCCTGTACAATTAGCCACAGAAGTCAGGAGGTAAAAGCCAGCCACACTGCTATAGGACAGACACACCACTGAGTTGTATTGATAATGGAATCTGACATCTCCGCCACTTCAATAGAAAAAAAGTGTTCAAAATCCAGGAGTTTGTTGTTTCTTCACCCATTGCAGTGAGTCCCCTGTAAAGTTTTTTTTCAGCTGTCATATCGTGAGCCAATGCTTGAGCTAGGAAGTGATCAAATGATAACGTTACTTAATAATAATAATCCTTGTGTTTGATATAGTGCTTTTCACGTCTTCTAGACGTCGCAAAGCACTTCACAGAATAAACAGTAAAGTGAATTGACTGTGTATTTGTGGGCGAGACACAGTCGTGGATTGAAGTGACCAATTTATTATTATTTATCTAAAGTGACACAGACATAGTTCTAAGTAACTATGGAAATTGGATTCATTTAAACTATTTTGGGGGGATGGGTAGGAAGGTGGAAGGAATAACCAGTTTCACTTACTTTAAATTGTCGCACTTTCCCCTGTTTGACAAGATAATGTTCATTTTCAGGAGTGACGCAGTAGGCTATTCTCTAAGGGAGAAAAAACATTATCCATTGTAATCATTTGTAAAAAAATAAACTCTCTAGAATTTGCTCACTTTACATGTTTTAGCTAATGATCTCTTAGAAAACACCTTTCTTACAATTAGATGAATGTTGGACTAGACTGTCGGGTTTTGAAAGTTACAAACGCTTTCTCTGACAGGTATAGTGAGTGTTTCACAATTGTGTTGATTATTAATCTGTTAGAACCTAGAAACAGGGTTATTAATTGACATTGTTCTGGATAAAGATCAATCTAATTTAGTTAAAAGTATGATCCCACATTTTTTTCAAGGATCAGTATAATTATTTAACCCCCTGAATTAGACATATGTTGGTTGCATAACAAATACATTATTATTTATTTCCACATCATCAGCCTTCTTCAAAAAATTATATTAGGTTAATTCAAATTTATTTCACAAAGTGCTTTGAGGCATTTATTTTACATGAAGGGAGCTTATATAAAGTCAAATCATTCTTAATAATAATAATAATACAGGATTTCCTCAGAAATGGAAATGGTTGATAAATTCCAGATCGAATTACTTAGCTCTAGAAGCAAACCTTGGATTATTAAAGCCTGGGAGCTGATTCTGGTACTAACCTCCTTTAAGGTCCCAGGAACCGACAGCAGTTTGTAAATGGCATAGACTGGCACCAGTAACATTGAAGACATTGCAACTCCCCATCCAATAAGATTTGCCCAGTTTGGAAATACGTACTCATCATAGGTTAGAGGCTTGAACTTCACGATGCTGACAATCACTACAAACTGAAAGAGTAAAACATAGCAGGTTATTCATACTGGTAATCTTTGTCTGGAAGTTGGTTGATTGAATAAGTAGTACTGTAGCGAATGAAATGAGACAAATTGTAGCTTTCGAATGAAGATTGACCAATACACACGCAAAAGCTTAGATATTTACATCACCAATGAACAAGACAGAAATTGACTTATTAACTTCCAATCTAGTCAAAACTATCTGGCACTTTTATTGCAGCAATCAGAAGTCATAGCTTCCATGTTGTAGGAAATTGGCAGGATAGTGAGATTGTAAGGGAGGCTGTGTGGGATCCGACTTCCAAAATAAAGTTTATGTGAAGTAAATGAGATGGTGGAGTCTGGGGTGGACCTAGTATATGATAGGAGGGTAGGATGTAGCTAGGCACAAGTCAGTGTAACAGAGGTCTCAATAGTCAGGCATGTGATTTGTGAATTATTTACAGCCTACAAAATACACAGCCATTACACTTCACAGTAAATCCTGTGAAGCATGTTGTGATATCCTCCTGATGTGAAAGGCGCTAAACCAAATGCAAATATTATTAACATTTATTAAATGCTAATAATAAGCACGTATAGTGCATCCAGGGAAAGGGGAAAAGACATGGGCAATAAGATGGGGCTCAGCCATTGGTAGTATGAAGGTCTGAAAATAAATAAAGTATATAAAAGTGTGGTACGATGGCTTCAATGATGAGTGATTCAGTGTTTGGCTGATGGCTCAGTTAATTAACCCAATGCATAGAGTGAAGCTGAGTCGTAGAGAGGTGGAAAGTCCCCAGCTGGTTCCTTAGTGCGTGCTGAGTTAGTTATTCTCAGCCAGAGTCGGCTTGCTGAAGGAGAACATTTAACAAGCAGATAGTGCTGGGAGCCAAACCTACATTCTTCCAGTTGGATGGCAAGGGATGTGCTAGTCGTACACTCAGTTTACCTTTGAAATACTATGTAGAACATGAATCCAGATTTGAGCAGAAACTTTTGTCCGGTATGGATTTTCAATATCTTTTTGAATATCACATATTGTTCACTAATTGTTCCATTTCTTGGTGCACCAACGACCACAATGTAATTTCCAGCCCTGTCATATGAAATTTGTTACCTAACAGAACTGGCAGAATTGAATGTCAAAGGCTACACATATTCTCTTGCAAAGAGGTAAGGTGTAGCCAGGGAAATGCCAATGCAACTAAATTCAATAAGACACATGAAACATAACTTCATGATTTGATTCTGACATCTACCAGCTGCACATCCAGGCTCCTGCCAAAAGCATGTTGCTTCTGATTAAATAAATGCGACCAATTTCATAACCTTAAGGAAAGGTTACAAGATCCTCTTTGTAAAATGCAGCTCTGTTTATACTTTCCATTTCTTTTAAGTGCAAAATTTGCCCTAAAATTTTCTGTTGATTTGCTTACAGATACATTTAATCTCTCTGTTTATAAAATGTATGCAATTCAAGATATGTTAATTGATAAAAATAAGCCGGGTTTTCAGTATTTCAGTTTATAGTGTCACACTGACTTTGCTTGCTCCTTAACTTCTATTTTATTTTAAGTCTTAATGTCATAAAACATCTACTAATGCCCTGTTCTTCACACCTATTGCATGTTCTTATATTGCTTGTTTTGAGTTATAAAAGATGTTTATTCAAATTTCTGCAAAGTGTTTTAATATTGAAACCATTGTATTAAAGCAAGGTTATTTAGTGAAGTGGATCAGTGTTATATACCATTACTTTGCTCTGGCAGGTCATCTTCTATTATCATTTGTACCTACACGTAACTGACAATATTTGCATCTGTATCAAATGAGTTAGGTTCTCGTCAATCCAGATCATATACTTCTTGATGGAATCACAAAATTCCACATGAGATTTTCCAATTAAATCTGTTGACTAAGTTCTGATTTGTTCCGTTCATGCAATGAGGCTGTTCTGTAGCACCGATTAGATTAAGGGATATGGGAATAGGCGGGTAAATGGAATTAGGTTAGAAGATCAGCCATGATCTTATTAAATGGCGGGGCAGGCTCGAGGGGCTGAATGGCCTACTCCTGCTCCTATTTCTTATGTTCTTATAACTCGGTGAAGGTTCGAGGTTTTTCATGTTGCCATTCATGAAACACAATCTAAACGGGTTGGTTCGCAGCTTTCAGTGGTTAGGTAGCCTTTGAGATTTGACCCTTGGCTACTCCTCCTAATTATGTTATCTAGAATAAATCCAGTTTATCTCTGAAAAACAGAATTATCCTCTCTGCCACCTACTGCACCATTGTTACACCACTGCATATTATTTTGATACATTTAGTGACCTTACTCGTGTACATTTGAATGAGGTTGGGGATCAATTGTTAGTAAATTGTTACCCTCCTGTTTGCTTACCAGTAAAAATGCTGGGCTAACAAACTTCCAGCAGATTCTCCAATAGAGACCCGGTTTGGAACCCATCATTCTCTCAATATCTTCACTGAATCTGTCAACTCCTAACAGAAAAGGGAAAAAACACAGAACAAATAAGAGAATCGGTGAAACATTGGTGGGTAGTTCACCTTCCCTTTCAATTTAGTTGCAGGTAAAAACTAGGGAACTTTATTTCAAGTCACAAGAGAAAAAAGGAATCTAGATGGACATTGTAATTTCTCTAAATGCAGAAACCAACTTTAAAAAAGGGTATTAAAAAAACTGGTCTTAAAAGGATTCATCAACATATGCTCAGCAGATCCACTTTAATATTCTCACCCTGAATTTCAAACTGCTTCATGATCTCGTCTCTCTCTTTCTTTATAATTCAGCAGTATTTCCCGACCTATCAAGTTCTTCTCTTCCGTCCATGTTCTCTACTCTTCCAACTATGGTCTAATACTTGTTCTTCATTCCCTCCTTTCCAGCATCGGTGACCCAGACTTCAACCACTATACCCACACTCTCTGGAACTCTCTCCTAAACTTAACAGTAACCCAAAAATAACTTCAACTTAGATCTTCTCTCCTTACTTTCAAAATCCCACTTATGCCTTCAGATCGACTTCAAAGCCCTTCAGGTGCGATGATTCCATTGCTTTTATGAAGTGCTTTTGAGATGTTCATCCTTCACGAAAGGCGCTATATAATTGCAACTTGATATTCAGTGCAAGCTGAGATGTGTTTCCTCAATTTCAAGATTGATTTGACCATTAACTGAAAGGGTAGTTATAAAACATTCAACCAAACAAAGGCCAGCAGTTTGAATGGATAGAAATAAGCTGTTTAAACTTTTGGCATGAATTTTTAGATGATTTTTTTTGATATTTGAACCATTGAAATACTTTTATATTATGTTTAAAACCACAAATTCCGCTTTTGGAATCGTAGCTTTTTTTTGCAACATAAAATGGTGAAGTTGAATAGTATAAATTCTTCCAATTCACACTGTTTGCTTTTTTTGAAAGAAAATAACTTTTACTCAATAATTTGGAAGAGAGACTCATAAATATTAGAAATATCTTTTTCAATATAAATATTAAAATTGCATGAACCACAAGCTTATTTACAAAGAAGGTTAACAATGCGGTTAACATTTCTGTTCTGCATCACAAGCGCTAAGTCAGGTGATGTGTATTCAGATTTCAATTCCTTTACTGAAAGTTTTAAATGCTACATTTTTCTTTTACGACTTGTTCACTGAAAGCTCAGCTCAAATTCCTGGCAATACACATTACTGTCTTCCCAGTGATCCTAGTGAACGGATGATTTTCCACACAGCTCCGTTCACATCCACACAAGGTGATATTTACACTTGCAGTTGTGGCTGTTTCATTCTACATGACTTTTATGATTAAGATTAGCTTAAATCCAAATCTCTCAACAACGTTCACTTTCTTTAAATGTCATGTATGCCTTGAGGCTCATGACAACAGTCCCATTGGGTTGGATAGACTACTAGGGTCCATTCTCAGTCAAGAGGTGGAAGAAGAAATGCCAGATCACATCAACAGCAGACTCTAATTAAAGCCAAGGGCTACAATGCAATATCATCTGTCTTTCACCAGGTCATCTCTTGTCAGTTAAAACATTGATCAACAGCCTCAAATGACACCGCTGCATAATATCACTTTAAGAACTGCATACAACTGTGTGACTCGAAACGCAGTAACAGTAATAATGGCACAAGGAGCACAACAACTAGATTCAGGGAATGAGATTCTGAACATTGCTGCATTCACATTTACGTCAAAGTCCATTTTAGAAAAAAATGGTTCATGGAATGAGCTTTCCTTGAAAAATCTATTCCATCCGCATTTCATGCTGCATTACCAAGATCATTACAGACCCTTTTCTATTCTTTTTCTGGCACCATTTATATTGCTAGAGATCAAGGAAGTCATTGCTACTCACCTATTACAGATGCTTGCAAATTCGGAATAGTGTGCAAGACTTAAACGTTACTTCAAGCCTCTTAACATAATATAAAGCAAGGATATTGTGGCAGGTTACAATTGAAATATGAAATAAAACATACCGTAAAACCATGAGACTCCAATGGCTTCTATTAATACTCCAAAAAGGATAGACGTCCCTGCAGCAAACTGGTCCAACATTGTAAACACATAAATTCCACCCTGTAAGAGGCGAAAAATATAAAGATTTAAATAGTTCTTTATCAATTCATTTTGAGTAAAAAAAGTCAAAAGGTACAATGCTTGAGGTAAAGGTTACTGTGACAGTATCTATAATAATGATACAAATTAGCACTATAAAACCATTAACGTATTCAACAGTGGTTTGGGTGAAGAAGGCCCTTTTGTTTTCATCCTTTCAGAATACCCACCTACTGTCCTCTCATCTTGAATTCAAGCTTTTTTTTCAAAAAAAATCCCAGTGCTCTGGCCTCAACCACACTTCCTGGCAACCTGTTCCGAAAATTAAGTACTCTCTGAGTAAAGAAAAACTTCTGGATTTCTGCCCTGGAATGGCACTTCGTAACTCTAATCTTTATTCAGGTATCTCTGAATTATTAAGCTGTCCCTACACTTGACAATAATTACTTGTGTTGTATTTTGTCATATTTCAATATAATATGGGGCTATGAAATGCAAGTTCTTTCTGAAAATAATATTTTAGTATTTAATATTATTTGTATTAAAACTAACATTTTGGCTTTTGTCGACTGAAGTTAATCTACTGTATGATACCATTGTACATTCATTTCATCCTCATTAACTTATCTAACCTTGGTGTGTAATTTATCAGAAAATACCAAACTATGGATAAAAAGCATAGATTCATAGAGGGTACAGCTCAGAAACATTTGGCCCGTTCAGTTCAGCTGATGTTTATACTCCACACGAGAATCTATGTTAAATATGACTATGAATATGAAATGAACGGAATGAAACGGAGATTCCAAATGGATACAATTGAAACGCTGTCTATAAATAAGAAGCATTAAGACATTTCATTTAAGACGTTTTTCTGAGGAGTAAACTGTAGTCAGAAACAGAACAGAGTGACTTTTTAGGCAAGTGTCCTTTGCTGCTTTGGAATGCACTCAGTGTAAACATCTGTTTCAAATGCACAGTATAGTACCTCAATTATATGAATCACGCAATTCAAAACAAGCAAGCAATTCCTCAGTAACTGATTTTGATTTGGTTTCCAGAGATTATCAACACCGTTTGAAAGCAATTAAAAAACTGATGTGCGTTTAGAGACAGAGTTATTTTAATTTGCAGATTATACAACTGTTATTGCGTCCACTCTTCTGCCCACAGTTGTTATTTAAGAGGCTTATTGGTGTGAGGCCAAACTTTTGTTTGTTTAATTGTGCAATTATTACAATTCATTCAGTATTTACTGAGCACACATTGATTTACAGAATAATCAATGGTGACTCCCAAGAAATGCTAGCTTTCCAAGACAGTCCATTTTTAAAATGTTTTCGTAATAACACTGAAGACTCGACTGCGGAAACTTCCTCCTTGTCGGCCTCTCCAACTCTTCCCTCCACAAGCTGCAGATCATCCAAAACTCTGCAGCTCATGTCCTCTCCCGCACCAAGTTCTGTGACCCCATCACCCCCACCCGGATCCACTGACTCCCCATCCCTCAGAGTATAAAATTCAAAATCCTCCAGCCTGCTCCAGGTCTCCCGCCCGACCCGCCCTACCATCAGCGGCTGAGCTTTCAGCCTCTCTGCCCCCACTCTTTCGAACTCCATTCCGCAATCCCTTTGTCTCGCTCCCTCCCTTGTCTCCTTCAAGGCACGACTCAAGACCCTCCTTTTTGACCGCGCCTTCAGGTACCCTCCTACCCCCTCTGCCCTCCCTCATCCCAAACCTGCCCGCCACGCTCGGGTCCAGATCCCTGACTGTTCAGTGCCTTGGGATGCCCTCCTGATATGAAAGGTGCTTTACAGAAGTAATTTTACTGTTGTTGTTGAACAAATGTCGGGCGTAACTTTCTGTCCTCTCTCTGAACTGCAACAAAGAGAACAGAGTTGCTCCTGGTGTCCTGTGGTCTACAAACCTCCAGATAAAGTGGTCATTCACTTCAAGTTAATCAACCTTGCTGTGCACAAATTGGCTGCTGCAATTATCTACAAATACAGAGTCACAGATACCGATTCCCTATGATATGCTTTGAGTTAAAGTAATATGCAACACAAGGATTATTTCGTAAGTATGTGCGTGTGGGATTCTTCTCGGAAACTGGCCTCTCATTGAACTGAGTCTTTCTTTCAGCTGAATATGGGCCAGCAGTGTAATGAATGACGTGGTTGCTCACGACAAGGTAGAGTATTGATGGGCCTTACAAGTGCTACACAGGACTAACGATCACTCAACGAGTAACTCTTGTCAGTGGCTCCTGCAAAGAGATTAGAATGAAAACGGCGACTGGGTGAGCACAGTAATCGCTTTAAAATGTTCTATTTTCGTTAGATTGACATCCTCCCAATGTGAAAGGCGCAATGACAAATTGAAGTTTTATTTTAATACCCTTAAATTACTGGTTCGCTATTTGTTTCAGTGAACGGGCACTGTTATCATCACAATGATAAAGCTGTTCCTGCTATTGTGATTGCTTCATCTCTGTAATGTCAATGTGAGCGTTAGTAACATCAGACTTACGTTGGTGATACAAACCAATGCCGCCAGGAACGTGACTGCTGCAGTCGCAAAGCTAAAAAGCTTCCGATGCTTCTTCAGAATTTTGAAGTCATCCGTAATTCCAGTAACAACTGCTTCCATCCCTCCCATCTGAAAATAACAAGCCATACATCAGAAAGAAGAATATGCTATCAATTTCAAACCATAGAAATTTACGGTACAGAAGAAAGATGTTCAGCCCATCGTGTCTGTGTCTTCTCCCTCAAGAGCAATCTTTTCAGTCCCATTTACCTGCCTTTGCCACCATACCCCTGTAAGTGACTCATTTTAGAAACGACTTTTGAGAAACAACTTAGCACCAGTTAGAAATGGTCAGTTTTAACTTGATCAAAAGCTTTCTGAACTGACGGAACTATGGAAATGTCAGGCCGATGAGGGTGGATGAATGGAGGATCACAAGTTTGAATGAAGAAAGCCCTTCAGTTGATTTGATCTCATCCTTCCAGATATCTCAGGTCAGATATGGATTCTGGAAATACTTTTTGCTGCAGGGGAATAGAGTCTATTACGGAATAGATTTTACATGATTTGTGGAAGGAATGAGTCTGATAGATCAAATAGCATTTCCTTGTTCATATTTTCTTCATAATCAAAAGGCTTGTTGTCAGCAAGTGTCTAGGTTCACGGATGAAGAACACTCAATGTTGAGGGATCAAAAAACTGACTTTCTAGGAAAAAATGGGGAAAACAAAATAGAAATTTGATTGTGTTAATGCGGTTAAAGGGAATGGGACAACAGTTACTGACTAGAGAATTAGATACATTTGACCTTCAACTTAAGTGCATGGGGAAGGGTGCTAATGGTGTATCATAAGGTTGAGCTGTTATGTTGCTTTGTGATTTACCAAGTGTAGGAGCTCAGGCATAGAGATCTGGTGCACGTATTGTCTTTGAACATTTGTAATGCATTAGTGTGCAGTAATAGAGAATAGGTCAACCGGATTTTAAGATAGCAATGCAGCAAAACTACATACGATATTACTTACTGAGCTGTCAATTCCCAAAGTCAGCAGCATTATGAAGAACATAATAGCCCAAAAAGTTGACCCTGGCAGAGTTGAGATGGCTTCAGGATAAATAACAAACACTAAACCTGGACCTGAAAACAAGAGCAGCAACCCGTAAACAAACCAAATTGTAAGAATATACATGCATTTTCTATAAAAACATTGGAGCTCTGTAAGCAACAAAGTTTCCTGGAATTTTAAACTGGAGAGGGACAACATTTCCAGGAATTGTCTTGTAAGCCACTTTTAAGGTATCTTATCACACGCAAACCAATTCATTGGATTGCAGCTAACGGGAATATGTAAGACCCTTGAAACAGACATGTTTGACCTACTTGGCATCTCCCTCTGAAGGTTGGCTGAAATTGGAATTCCCTATGTGGGAAATCACAGTGTACACCAACACAACACTTCTCAACAGTACAGCACATGAAAGCAATGACAGCCGGGACTTGTATCTAAATTATATTTGTCCTTAAGCTGAAGTATCCACTTAAGATCATATTTTAAACCACAAAATTGTAAGGAGTGGCAGAGCAGTCCTAATCAATACTTCATCTTAGAGAGAGGTTTAAGCTCTTCAGCTGCATGTAATTAAGATCCATGCAAAAAATAGTAAAATGATAATATACGTCTAGGATTATAATAAATTTGTCGTCAATGTTAAAAAAAACTAATATTTAATGATGGAACATCCCAAACCAATCTCCAACTACAGGTTTCTGGGGCACATTCTTAAAACCCTTTGTGAGAAGTTTTCTGATCTTCTTTCAATCAGCTAAGCTCTAATTTTAAGAGGTCCCCTTTTAAGGTGAAAACGTTCATTACATGTAAAGCTGATTCTGCATATTTTCCTTAGTAGAGGCAAGAGGAGAAGAGCAGGACAGTCTACTGAAGAACAAACTCTGTCTCAACAGACCTGGCAACTGCACAGCCTTTATTTGATGCACAATCCACCTGAAACCATGCACTATGCTCACCAAATATTGAACTTGTTACCAATTTTTATATTGGGAGGCACAAAGAAGCATACAGTGATTTTTCTTGTGTTGTAAAAAACACTGAGCACAGAGAGTGCATTTCTGCGGCGTACAATTCCTAGGAGACTGATACCCATGAAAACAAAGGACTTAGTTATGGTTGCCGCCACTTAGATCGACTGAATGCATTATTTTGTGCCAGGAGCCTGAAATTAACCTTGTGTGTATTTTAAAGAGTATCAGGTATAATAACAGACAATAATACTACTTGTATTTGATATAGCACTGTTTGTGCCTCAAAGAGCTTCAGAGGTTTAATTGTAAGATGTGGTGACTGTATTTTGTAGGCAAACGCTCCCGCACTCGCATTTATAGAGCGCTTTTCACGTCGGGAGGACGTCCCAAAGCGCTGAACAGTCAGATGTCGGGGCCCGAGCATGGGGGAGGGGTGGTGTAGGGGTGAGGGAAGGCAGAGAGGTGGGAGGGCGACCAAAGGCACAAACAAAGAGAAGGGTCTTGAAACCGGCCTTGAAGGAGGCAAGGAAGGAAGTGAGACGAAGGGACCATGGGATGGAGTTCCAGATTGTGGGGGCAGAGAGTCTGAAAGCCCAGCCATCGATGGACATGGAGCAGACTGAAGCCCGCTGAACGGAGGGAGCGGGCAGGTTGCACACAGCAGTATCCCACAAAAAGCCATGAGGTGAATGACCAATTTTTATCCGGGGGATTGTTGGCCAGGGAAAATGGGAGAAATTTCCTTCTCTTTTTGAATAGTGCCACGGGATCTTTTAATGTCCACTTGCGCAGGCAGATGGGACATTGGCAGCTGACCCCTGCATTGTACTGAAGTAGCAGCCTGAACTGAGTTAAAAGTACTAATTTTTTTTCACAGAGGACCAAAACATTTCTAGTCTGCTGCTGTGTACTTGAAATGGAAACTGAACTGAAACAGTATCTATATCCTAAGGGTTTGGTGCCTAACTGGTTTGGTAGGGAGTCACACAGAGCAAATGATCCCTGCTCCATCCCAAGATAGCTGACTTCAAACAGGATAGCATTAGTGGTGCTACACTTCGCCTCAGTGTTCCCAGGGACGAAAACATTAAGAACTCCCACTGCCGATCACTAGTAATCGACCCCTGGTAGAAAGGGCATAAGTTTGAATATTGAATGAAGTTAGCAAGTGATTTGGAATTGTTTACCCCAACCCGCACTCACACACAACACACACACATAACAACATGGTACAGCCTAACAAAGTCTGGGCCTAGGCAGGAAGACTGACAACTTTGGCAACACACCAGTGGGTTGCTGGCATCTGTGGTCCTATTCCTCAGCAGGAGTCCATGTTTTCAGAAGAGAAAGGCAGAAAACTTGGAAAAACAAATGTGCTTACCATCTGTTGCTACCTCAGCAATGTCAACTCCATGCTTGAATGCCATGTAGCCCAATACAGAGAAAATTGCGAATCCTGAGAAGAAGCTGGTCACACAGTTAATGGAGCTGGTGAGAATAGCATCCCTGCACAGAACATAAGATAGGCCATGTAACTACCGAGAATATGGGTTACAATCATTTGTGAGTCATATATTAAAAGAAAATAAAGTATAGAACGTTTGCTCCTGGTTCAGTCCAATGATACATGGACACCAAGGATATAAAATGTGACTACAAAATGTCATTGAAAAAACAGAGAGTGTCACCACATGTGTAATAATAATAATCCTTGCATTTGATATAATGCCTTATCACATCTTCGAGACATCTCAAAGCGCTTCACAGAATATACTGTAAAGTGAATTGAACATTTCATAAAAAGAATTAACTGACACTGAGGTGTAGACTGGATTTATAATGCCAGGCGTGAACTGCCAATATAAGAAAGTGGAATAGGAAGCCATATTCCTACACTTCTCCTGGAGTCTTGTCTAACAATCCCCTCGATAAAATATGGCATTCACTTCATGGCTGTTCGTGGGACATTACTTGTGTGCAAATTGTCTACCATGTTCATCCACAAAATAAATACAATGACACCACTTTACAATAAAATCCTGCCATGCGCTTTGAGGCATACGACCAGAGTGAAAGATGCTGTTTAAATGCACATCTTTGATCTGAGTCCCAATTTTAAAGATTCTTCATCATGTGTGCCTTTTTTTCCCCACAATGTTCTTAGAAAACTATAATTGGCTCTTTAATAACATAAAAAATGATTCATGGATGTCCCAAAGGCTCTTGAGTGGATTAGAGGGAACAAGCATGTTGTCATTCCTTTCCACCAGACTTAGAAAAATTGCAATAAACTAGCTTCACCCGTAAGACTGAATAGGAAGAATGCTACAAAATTTGCACGCTCACACTCTGAAAAGCTAAGGAAAATGTCCAAGTCTAGACCCAGGTGGAATTTCTCCTTCCAGGAGTGGGGCTCCAGTGTAATTCACATTGCACAAGGCTCCATTTTCACTGCGTACTTAGTGGTAAATTGCTGCCAATGTTGTAGTGATTCTCCAGCAGACATACAACAGAACCATATCTCTATGGCATTATTGTACCATGGTTACAGTGTCTTTATAATATAAATCATGGTTCAGAATAGTAACATCGAAGTTGTAACACAATAACCCTTGAAGTTAAGCAAGCAAAACTTCAAAGATTAACAGTCAGTAATGTCAATTAATTCCTTGACTCTTGTTTTCATCAGCTCACTGTTTAAAATAATAGTTTCAAAATCAACAGAAACCAAATGTTAATTATTAGTCATGATTTTGAAATGGATTACTGATGGCAAAACTCCCTGGAATAAGGAGCGCTATCTTCTACAATTCCATTCCTACAATGCCCATCGATAAGCCCTGTAGTGCTATTCAGATGGGAAATGTGCGAAGTAGAAGGTTGGTCTGTAAAATTAATCAGTGTAGGATTTGAAAAGTTTACAATTTCATTGATTCAGATATGTTCCACTTTGCCCGCCAGTCTGAAATTTCTCCAACTGGTCCTTTCCTGCAGTGCCATATTAAGCTGCCCAACAAACGAGAAGCTTCTAGATAATTTTTAAATGGTTATGTTTGGCTTTTTGACAGGAATGCACTAACAAGCATCTAGTGTTACATTAGATAATCTTTATTTTAGTTCCGTGCTTTCCCCTGAAAAATTTCAATTAAATTCTGAACACAAAGACACACATTGCACAATACAGATACCACCATCTGTCATAGTCCAAGAGACCAGAGTTTTAAATGGAAGGAATATCTGACTTCACTTGTGTTCTGTAACTCATTTGCCTCAGATTCAGCCAACACTTGAATGAGCCACATTTCTCGGGTTAAGAGGAGGAAATAACAAATAGAAGTGTGTGTCAGTGTTAATCAATAGAGATTTGTACAGATCAGTTGAAGTGTGGTTGAATAGTTCATTACAATTTGAACTAGGGAAACCCAAGCAACTTAATTGACAGAAGAGTGAACAAACATGGGTGTATAACCAAACATGCATTGAACATGGGTCAGACCCATGACACCAATTTTAGAAACCATATCACGCGAACATGTAGGGCAATGTTGCAGCGATTCTCCAGCAAACTCAAATAGTTGTAAAGAGAACAGAAGTCTGTGGGGAATGGTGGGTTTGTGGACCTACGAGAGATGTTCTATATAGGAACAGCCTGTACTGAAGTCTGTGTTGCAGCTGGGATTAGAGAGATGTTGCATTCATGAGAAATGCTTTGCAAACTGGCTTGTTAGTGCAAAGGAAATCCATGTTTACCACAAAGATAATAATAATAATAAAAGATTCCATGCAGAAGTATCATTTGTTGTATCATTTGTAAACACCATCATTTGCCCAGAAGAACCCTATTGAAAACTAGCTGCAAAATTAAGACTCAATGATAATACAGTAATAATAGTCCTTACATTTGGTATTGTACTTTTTCACGTTAGCGGGATGTCACAAAGCACTCAAAGAATTTTGGGAATTTTACCTGTAGCAGTTATTATTGAATTTATTATAACTGGCAAACGCAATAAGAACTCCAAATCCAGCTCCAAGGGAATAAAAGATCTGAGAGGCGGCATCAATCCAAACCTGCAAGAAATAAAGGAAAATATTTGTGACACAAAATCCGCAGCCTCTGCAGGAAAAAACATGGCATTAAGCCTCATTGATGCTTGGTGCTTGTTCATTGTTCTTAAAACATATGGATAATTTCCACATTGTAACTATCACCATTAAATCAAAGGAACAATTTATGAATTGGTTTCACCAGACTAGTTTGGCTGAAGATGGCTTATCAGCCCACCTGATCCTGCCACAACGCCCACCCCACAAGCTGTTTTGTTTTAATCAGTGCAGTGTCCTGGCCTCGACCACCCTTCATGCAACCTGTTCCAATCAGTAATTACCCTTTGGGATAAATTTAACCTTCCTGGTGTCTGTCCTGAAATTCCAACTCTAAACTTGTGACCTCTTGTTCTACTCTCTTAATGCATCCTAAAATATTGTTCGAGGTTTACTTTTCCAATCCCATTTAAAATTGTAAAACCTCTTTAAGGTCCCCTCTAAGATGCCTTCTCTCGAGACTGTCTATATAATCTTAATCAAAACCTGGATTATTGGTTTCAAAATGTTCACAGATATCAAACATTATTCATGCAAGAAACAGATAGGGTAGGTATTCTGGATGAGATCAAATGAACCAAACAACATTTTTTCATTCCATCTCTACTGGAACGTATTGCTAGGAAGAGTGGTCAAGGGCAGGAGTCTGGTTTCAGTTAAAAAAAACAGCTTGAGCCTGTGATCGTAAATTGTAGTCCAGAAGGATGAGATGATATGGGCCAAAGGGCCTTCATCACAAGAACTAATCTATGATCTTGTGACTTGTCCCAGCGTTTGACAAGGCCTGACCTGTGCAATAGTTTACACAAACAGATTAAATATTGACATATTGAATAACAATTTAACAGTATTAAAGAACTGCACATTGGTGATCTGAAGTTGAATGAGTCTTGCACATGTTACATGTGAGATCTTTGTTTCATTATGCACTAAGCTCACAAAGTAAAATTTATCTTGTATTCATGGCCTTCAGTCTGTCATGTTTTGCTGAAGTCTGATGAGGTAGAAGGTTTTAAAGCTGCTTCTGCCTGAGATAATCTTTCTCAGTAGGTTGCCTAAAGGCAGGTACTTTCAGAACTAATCGGTGGAAGACATCCCATCCCTTTTGATGGCTGTTTTGTAGAGCTGATGAGAATGAAATGTATCCAATGGCCAACAAATCAAAGATACTGCTGTTTTCATAATAGTCTTTTGATTTAACTCATTTTCAGTGTCTGATCTTTCATAAGTTGACTGTATTTAACAAAACATCATTAAATTGTGGCAGATGTACTTGGTTGGTGGTCTAAAGAGTAATGAATCTCTACATTTAGAGCTGAGGAAGCCAACAACTTGAGCCAAACTGAGCCAAATGGAATGTGGAGGCCTTGGTGTGACAGAATTCGAGCCAACAACATTCGAAAGGGAATTGACATACTTTGAGAAAACATAGGTATGGATAAAGAGCAGGGCAAAGGGTTTAGAGTGAGTGGTTGCAGTGAATAGCTAGAACAGCACAGGTACAATGGATCAAGCAGGCTCCACTGCTTGTTGACATGTTTACAATTGTAGCAAACCTTCTCTTGTGGGGTGGCTGATTTTGGCACCGTCATGCCTTTTTGAACTGGTAAAGAGTGCATTGAGAAAAGTCAGCTTGTAATTTTAATAGCGCGGAAGTGAATTAGTGAGCTTTATATAAACCTGGGACTCTGTGGCTGGCAGGAATATCCCCTCTTTATAGCATTAATTGAATCTTTGCTTCCATGTCCATGCTGAGTGAGGTGGGGGATCTGATTCAATGGTCAAAACAGTCTAGAGCAACAGTCTAGAGGTACAAGTCCACTTCTTATAAACAATTGAAGGAAGTAATTTATTTCTTATGTTATAAACTGCATGCGTTTGTATAAACTTGTAGCCTTGAGGATTTCCTGAAAGGTCAAATAACAAAGTAACTCGATTCCTTTGTATCACTATTAATAAGAAGAGTAATGAGTTGTAGCAGCAATGTTTTGGCTCTGAGCTTTGTAATCTTTCAGTTATCTTTCACTTTTTAGCATTTGTTTTCCATCAAAAGGTGTTCAGGAGTTACCATGAGGGTTTCTTTCCTGGTATTTTATGGCCATGATATTATTCTATTACATTATCACTGTATATTTTGCCTACAAAATATACAGTCAATTCACTTTCTCTGCTTGAGATGGGTAATTGAGATTGTTCAGCTCAGAACACTTTTTCCATGATGCAGAATGGGCCAGTTACACAGCGCTAATGAAGCTCCTCTTTGAGTTAGAAGTAAGTTTAAGTCACTAGTAAAGTGCAGTTTCCTCGGGTGGCTTTAAATGTTTACATCTGTTCCAGATTGAATGACTTGCATGAGCAGAGGCTGCCAAGTGTTCAAATGTCAAGATTTGTTTTTCTCTTCTTGCTTTTTTGTTTCAGAAAAAAATACTAAACACATGTTGCTACTGGAGCCTCTCTGAATCATCTGGAAACATTTGAATACCACAAAAGGGAATATTGTTGATTGCAGGGGAAATTTAATGACAGTATAAATGTTAACATTATTATGTCTATCTAGGAAAAGGGGAATGGTGTAGTTTGTTTCTAGCAAACTGCTGCAGTTACCACTGCAAGAATGAAAGACCAGTGCTCATCATTACAGAGCTGCCAAGTTCTACAAATAGATTTCATGGAGATTATCCAGCAGGGAAGAAAAGTCTTCTGTCAGATTCCCATCCACCTCCTCCTCAGCCCCCACACAAAAAAATGTGGATCCCATGCATTTCTCATTGAAGATGAGTTTTCCAGTAAAACTACTAAATTATATGAAAGCTATTTTAATGGTTCCCAGTTACTTGCTGCTAACCACATCAGTGTGGAATTGCTACACAGCCCTGGAAGGTCTTGGGTTCTCGACATTCTTGTTGCGTAACGAGGGATGGGTGAGTATGTGGATTAGGCTACCCAGGGAGGCAGATTGTGTCAGCAAGATCAAGTGGGAAGAAGACAGCTACTTGGTGAAGAATTCATTTGAAGTCACATCTGGGGACATGTCAAAGTGCTTAAGGAGTAATATTAATAGTAATCTTTGCCCGTGATATAGGGCCTTACCACGTCATTGAGACGTCTCAAATTGCTCAAATCGCACAATATATTGTAAAGTGAATTGGCTGTGTATTTTGTGGGTGAAACGTGGCAGCCAATTGTGCACAGCAGTGTGCCACAAACAGTCATGGATTGAGAGACCAAATTTTTTTGAGGGATTATTACTGCTGGACTCTTAACAACTGGGTTCCTACTTACTGCTAGGTAACCAGAGTAAGGAAATATGTAGTAATGTGTTTTGTGTCTGGATGTGCAAGGCACAAACACAGACGGACCCTGTTAGACCATGCCTCGGTCTATATGTACACATTGCACTAGAGACCTGGAATCTGCCTTCTATTATATAGAGTGCAGGTGGCAAAGTAACTGCTGGAAACCACAGCTACCAGCACATTGTGTGCATGCACAAGTTCAGTGAAGACATCAGCAACCAGAACAGCTAGAAGTGCTAACCCACCACTGTCTTCGATTGTGACCTATTATCACACAGGGACTGATTATTTGTACCTGAACCCACTGTGTTATAAAATGATTCTGACTGTATAAAGGTAATCTTTAAAACACAGCTATTAAACAAAAGTCCAACAAAATCACACTCGTCCTTTGGATCAAATCTTTTTATAAGTGAAAAAAATATCTTACCCGAGCTTCCTTCAGGCGGTCCAAGTCGATGCTCAGGTAGGCCTTGATTCCATTCATTGCACCCGGCAGTGTGATTCCCCGAATCAGCAGCACAAATAACACCATGTATGGCATGGTCGCTGTGATCCACACCACCTACAGAGGAAAGCAAACAGATGTACTCTATTCTATTTTGACAAGTTATTTTATTCTGCACCCAGTTCTTTGACGTCTTTTCACCTTGGGAGAAGGTAGCCTTGGGACGTCCTCCTGACGTGAAAGGTGCTATATAAATGCAATTTATTGTTGTTGTTGTTGTTGTTGTACCACCTTGGCAGGAATGGAGAAATGGAGTTAAACTTGAAAACTTGATCCTCAACAGAGATTGCACCTGGATCATTTCCATAACAAGATATTATACTTCATTTCTCCAACCTACAAGTTACAATCGCACTTCTGTTTTTCATTTATCTCCTCATGAAGTGAGCAAACAACGTATAAGACTAAAATGAATAAAGGTTGTCATTCAGCCAACGGAACACAAGGTCTTTGGCTCAAGAATCCATGTTAGAACTGCGACCAAATGTTGACACTAATTTTGTGCGACAGATTGCTGCATTATTTCAATACCACCCTGAACATCAGTGAGTTGTGCATGGGGGTTTAGGATCAGAGGAAGATAAAATACAGTCCTTAAGAGGAAAGTAAGTGGGGTTTCCCTAGAGAAAGCTTGCCCACCTGCTTCACCCCCCTGTCCACCATCAGCAGTCAGGCTTCCAGCATACCTGCCCCCACCCTGTGGAACTTCCATTCCAGACTTCCATCATCTCACCCTTTCCGGCACATCCTTCAAGGTCTGCTTCAAGACCTTCTTCTTCGACTGCGCTTTCAGCCATCTCTCCCCTCCCCACCCCCCCACACCCCCCCGCCCCAGCTCAGGTGCAAGCGTTAAACTCTCCAGCGCCTTGGAATGTCCTCCTGATGTGAAGGCGCTTTAGAAATGTAAATTTGCATCGTAATTTATTGTATCCCAGAAATGTGGAACTTTGAAAAACAAACTACAGTGGCATAGGGTGCACTGCGGTGAAATCTGATGTAGCAACAACAACAACAACAAGATTACATTTGTATAGCGCCTTTCACATTGGGAGGACGTCCCAAGGCGCTGGAGAGTGTACAGCATTTCAGACCCGAGCTGGGGTCAAGAGGAGAAGGGAGGGAAGGGGAAGGGGGGTGACTAATGGCACGGTCGAAGAGGAGGGTTTTGAGGCGGAACTTGAAGGAGGCTAAGGACAACATGACGGCACTATGATACATTCCAATATGAATACTATACAAATGTAATTTTGTTGCTGCTGTTATTTTTTTCTGCTGAGAGATTTGCCAGCACTTGACAGACATGGAATAAAAATAGACTTTTGTGGAACATCTGTTGTCCATGTAAACAGTTTGATATACCGCACACCATCTTCTAAACAGTTACATGTGCACTTTGGGACCTTAGGCAACATGCTTCTGTCACACAAGTTCCAAACACTTTAAAGTGAGTCATGGAAACACCTTGGGTAACACTGTAAAGACATGGCAACTGAAAAGTGTAGTTGACATGTTCATCGTGTGGAAGTGTAAGGACTGACCTTTCATATATTGTAAAATTAAAACAGATGCGTTTACTACAAAGTGAACACTGAGCAAAGATACTGCATTCTGATTTCAGCTTTGAAATTGCCATGATGCAACTTGGTTTCAGGCTCTTCTTAACAGCCCAGTTCAAATCGTGCACAATGTGTGTCCTACTTCACCAGGCAGTGCATAAAAACACCCGCTGGCTCAGAGAATGGCCTGCTGTGCAAGTGCCAGAACAATGACATTTACTTTGGATTCATATAATCAGAGTTTTGAGCACATCGTCAAAAGAGAAGTTTGCTGGGTGTTTTGAAGGGATGAGAGCAGGTGGGCCAAACTTTCTGAGTCGTGATACAAGTAGGACGTGATACCTTTCCTGAAGTCTTCACCCCTTTCCAGATGCTGAAGTAGATAACGATGACCACAACAAAGAGGCAGAGGGAGAGCTGCCATCGTGGCGATCCCAGGTTATGGATTCCCGCACTCTCATGCAGATTGAGAACTCCACGTCTATTGAAAGAGAATACCATCAGCGGTGAGTAACAGAGTGTGTGGCAATAGATCAATTTGCCTTTATAATTGAAACTACATGAATCTCAGATGCTGCAGTTAATACATTTCTGTTGTAACAATTCACCTAATGGAAATCCATTTGACACCTACAAGGTTATAAAAATGTCAGACAATAATATATTTTTGTACAAAGCACTTCTGATGACCAGGTCATCACTTAAGCACTGAAGTGCCTGCATAGTCATTTGCCAGCATTTTGTTTGATATTTGAGATTTTTGTTCAAAATTCAAACTTCAGAGAGAAGAATCTGGGGCTGTAAACAGGAAAGCGCAGTGTGTGTGTTTCTTTTTTAATAACAAGCTGCTTATCTATCTTACAAACTACTTTGAAATGAAACTTCGAGAATGGCCTGCCCTTTGGCACACCCAGAATACCCACTGCTGCATTTTTGTAGCATGTATCTTGTTCTAACACAGGATTGTGAAGGGCTAGACAGAAACAACATTCAAAAGGTTAAGCTTTGACATCTTGGGTGAAATATTATTGCTGGGTCCACCACTCAATCGCATTAGTGCCGTGATCTACAGAGCCAATGCCAGTTAATAGTGTGCAAATAAAGGTCATATTTTAATTCTCCATAAACAGTGGCACTTGGTCTCTGTAACATGCCATTATGAACCAGTAAAAGGCCAAGCTAATGTTCATTAATGTTGTCCAGTTAACTACAGATTATCTTGTTTTATTTCTTTGAGGTTTATGACCCTCAATGGTAAAGTCCTCCCTGAGACAGTGCTGCAGTGTTGTCATAATATTGTCAGATATTCTTTCTTTTCGAATTTTTTTTCTTAGTCGCGCGTTTGAACAAATGCTTTTAACACAAGGAGCGCAAAAGGAAAATACTTTTTTCACTCAGAAAGTTGTTGAGATGTGGAATGCCTTGTAATAATATGTTAATAATAATCCTTGCATTTGATATAACACCTTATCACGTCTTCACAGAATATACTGTAAAGTGAATTGACTGTATATTTTGTGGGCGAAAGGTGGTAGAGGCAAAATCCATTGTGGGTTTGAAGAGGAAAGTAATAATAATCCTTGCATTTGATTAGCACCTTATCATGTCAATGAGACATCTAGACAGATAAATGAAAGGTAGCGTCTCGAAGGGGTGGGGGGATAAGGCAGAACAGTGGAATTAAATGAACACCTTGCTCTGAGAGTCAGTGCAGACTCGATGGGCCGAATGACCCCCTCCTGTGCCTTAATTTCTATGGTTCTATGATTCTAACTACTCAGCTCCCATGTGTGGCCATTCACTACCAGTGCTCTACAACAAACATATGTAATATCTTTAAATCACCATCACATGTTCATTGAAAGACCATCTATATACGCTTTTAACACCGTAATGCAGAAAGTCTAATGGTAAACTCCACACATTGGGAGAAACTCCCTTCTCTTTTTGAAAAGTGCCAGTGGCTCTTTAATGTCAATCTGAAGAGGCAGACAGGAATTCACTTTAATGTTTCACGCTGCAGGAAGACACCTCCAACAATACAACGCTTTCCCAACACTGCACTTGAGGGTCTGCTGAGATTATAAGTCTCAACATTACAATGTAGGACTTGAACCCACAACATCGGTCTCAGAGGTGAGACTGCTACCAACTGAGCCATTCTAAGACCCTGCAAATAAATACGCACACAAAATACTGGGTATTTTGCAAACAGTAAAGGACATTCCTTCCTGAAATCACATAAAAAAGTTACTGAAATGAAAATGCATGAATAAAATACATTTTATTTATTCCATTAATTCTTACTGGAGGCAGTTTTGAAGTTGCCTCATCACAATCTATTTGAAGCTATTTGGGGAATTTGCTTTATCTATTTTTCAATGGTTCGATATTGCACACTATCACATGCCAGATAATGATGAAACATTCAACGAACAAACAGCTTACATTGCGCACAGCACACCCTCTCCACTAATTAGTGATGGATATGATCTGAACAACTGGATGTTGCACAGAGCCAGTGATGTTTCAAAAGTCATGCTACTCCTTTAAGTATCTGTCAAGAAACTTGGGCTGAATTGTTTTACAAAGAAGATCATCTCCTCTCTGACACAAAGCTGCCAAAACCCATTGGGTATTTAGTATTTGCTTTATCTACACTACATATGAATAGAAATGAATATGATAATGTAATACATGGGGGAAAAGTCATTGCAGGTCCAAGTAACACATTCCTATGTAAAAGTAGAAGTAAAGACTTCTACTTTACACTTGGCAAGCTGATGCCTTGTTCAAGTTAACCCACAGGAACCATAAACTGAGGGAACCTGTTCATGGCAGATATTTTAAACCTATTCCCTCACTGTTTCTCCACACTAGTTAACATCCTTCTCTCAAGTATCTATACCCTTTTCAAGTATCTATACCATTCTCTCAAGTATCTATCTCCCATTTAAATTTCCCAGTGGATGTACCTTTCTGGGACAGGAAGGTTTTCACAAATGCACAAGTGAAATCAAAATGTGTTTTTCGATCTCTCTTCTTATCATATTAGCTCTAATTTAAAGATTAAGTCTTCTGGTTTTGGATCCCTCTACCAGAGGAAAGAGACAATCCAGCTTGTCAAGTTCCTTTCGTTATTTGAAACAGCTCAATTGCTCCAAGCCTTGAAGATAAACATAACTACCCTTTATAATCAGATGTTCCCCAGCCTTTGTTTTCATTTCCTCATCCTATAAGGTAAAAGCTATCAATATCGTTCACCTTTGGGACAGATTTCAATTGCTCATTTCACAGAGGTCTAGATTGGATATATCTGTCCTGCTGGGAGGTGATGCAGTCAGTGGTTGTTTTAGGCTGGTTTCATTTAATATGGTATCACCAATCAGAATGCTGCAGACGCTGATTTACAATCTTATACGAACATGTGCTATCAGTGCGTTATGAAGAGGATTAATGTACATCCTGGAGTTTAGCCAAAGTGTGAAACCATTACAAGGAAAAGTATCATTTTTCAGCCCAGACAGAATTCTTAAGCATCTGTAGACCACAGAAATCGACTGACTTGCTATTTTTGTTCTTGAAATTTTTGCTGGCAGGTTACCAGCTTCTAAGAAAAACACTTCCAGGGATTTGTCTTATCCTTGGTGGTTTGACACTTAAATTGTATAATTAATCTTTGACATGCACAATACATTTTCAAGTATTTAATCATCACTTAGGGTAGTCAGGTCGGTCATTAACTGGAGTTAGTGCAGAAAGATGTTCTGCAGTGGTAAAATGAGAAGCTAACTATTCTCAGTAACCAAGCCATGCATGATTACTGCTCGGATAACACCTTACAGCCCAAATCATAATGATAAACTGCATTCTTTTCAACTGTAGCATTATGGTAAAAGTTACAACAAAATACTGTACAGGTCATGGTATCTTTCGAATGCATGCTTAATTTTGTCATAGTGTTTCATCCTGACAGGATGCCGCTAACTTGTAGTTCCACTCAATGGGAATGCTGCTTACAAGCCCCTAGTCTTCATTCGTGATGTGCAACATACCAAAGCCGAGAGGGAGATTCTATCAACAAATGTCTCATTGGATGAGATGTTAAACCTTTAAACCCGTCTGCTGTTCAGGGGGAATGTTAGGATCCCATGGCACGAGTCGAAAAGATAAGGGAGTTTTTCCCGGTGTCCCAGGCAACAATCCCCCAAATAAAACTGGTCACTCGCTCCATGGCTATTTCTGGGACCTTGCTGTGTGCAAATTGGCTGCATCGTTCCTCCACGAAATACATAGACACTGAACTTTACAGTACATCTGGTGAAGCGCTTTGGAGCGCTCTTCTGACATGAAAGGAGTTATACCAAATATGAGCTAAAATAACATCACTCCTAAATAACTCATGTTCAAATGTCATTTGATAATTTAAGGAGGGAAAGTACAACCTTATGTTGTTTTTGAGATTGCATGTTTCTGATCAAAAGAAAAATAAGAATTAAAAATAACTGCAGAAATAATTTTAAATAGCTGAAGAAAGCTAACTCCAAATGATTTGCAAACCAGAGTCCCACACCGGAATATATTTTTCCTGCTGGGAATTCTGTTCCTGATCTGTACCAAGATTTTGACTCATATTTATGTGTGTTTTTGATCGAAAGTAGATGTTTGAAAGTAAAAGGTTCTTCCTTTCTATATAAATCAGGAAGGTGCCATGTTAAATACTCAGTACACAAAAAAAAAATCCTCTGGATGCTCATGTGTGAGCCTAAATCAACAGACCTGGGAACTAGCGCACAGCAGTAGCAGACTGAAAGGTCACCCTTACACAAAGCAATATTGCCTTCCAAGTATTATGGGGAACAGTAAGCAGCTTATCGGAGAAGAAGACTTCGGGCAGAATAAATTACTCAGCAGAACTTTGTGCAAATGATTGATTCGAATCGAATCCCAATCGGTGCTTCGTTCTTGGAGCCCATAAAAGATCTCAGAAATACAGTATTTTATTCAAGAAAAATGGCAGTGACTTATTGATTGACTAAAACTAGACAGTTCTCCTTGGGTTCGAAGAACAGTCAACCAACAAGTCACTAAAACATCAAGATGAAACAAGTTAATGTCAAATTTGAGCCTCTTTTATATAATAGTAAGTTCCTTTAGTTTAGACAATTTATCTCTCAGGTCCATTGCCATCTGCTCCTCTTATTATAAACACACATGCATCTTCTAAACTCATTTCCCTTGCCTTATGCTATCTTTTCCTTAAATATAAATCGCTTTAATTTTTCTCCTGCCCTCTTCATTTAGTTGTCAAATAAAGTACGCTGATAACAGAAATCCTTTACTAAATATAGTGACTGTAATTACTAATGAAGTGGGATGACTGCACAATGGAATATACAGTTGAACTAAGATACTGTGTGTGGGCACCAGATTCAATGTAAATTTTCTATATCTGAAACTAGCATTGAAATTTCATGGTTT